TTAAGGCTGTGTCATCACAAGGCTGCATTTATTTGATCAAAAATACAGTGAAAACTGTAATATTGTGAAATATTATTAGAATTTAAAGTAACTGTTTCCTATATATTTTAATATGTAATTTATTCCTGTGATGCCAAAGCTTAATTTTCAGCAGCCATTACTCCAGTCTCAGTGTCACACGCTCCTTCAGAAATCATTGCTGATTTGCTGCTCAAGAAACATTTCTTATTATCAATGTTGAAAACAGTTGTGCTTAATATTTTTGTGGAAACTGTGATACATTTTTCAGGATTTTTTGAGGAAGAGAAAGTTCAAAAGAATGGCATTTATTTGAAATTTTTACTGTCTCATTTTTAATCAATTTAATGCATCTTTGCTGAATTTGAAAAAAAAACTATTATTAAAACTATGTATTAAAAAAACTCTTAGTAATCATTTTTAGTTCAATATTATTTTTATTTTTATTGTTTAGTGTGTATATATATATTTAATATTTATACTAATATATTTGGTTTTAATGATACATTTCATGCACTTAACTTTCAGGCACACGCTATGCATTCATGCATACAGTATGCGTGTGTGTGTGTGTGCGTGTGTGTGTGTATATGTATATATATATACACACACACACACACACACACACACGGTTGAGGTCAAAAGTTGACATCCCTCTTTCAGAATCTGCAAAATGTTAATTACTTTACCAAAATAAGAGGGATCATACAAAATACATGTTATTGTTTATTTAATACTGACCTGAATAAAATATTTCACATAAAAGATGTTTACATATAGTCCACAAGAGAAAATAATAGTTGAATTTATAAAAATGACCCTGTTCAAAAGTTTACATCCCCTTGATTCTTAATACTGTGTTGTTACCTGAATGATCCACAGCTGTGTTTTTTTGTTTTGTTTAGTCCCTTGTTTGTCCTGAACAGTTAAACTGCCTGCTGTTCTTCAGAAAAATCCTTCAGGTCCCACAAATTCTTTGGTTTTCCAGCATTTTTGTGTATTTGAAACCTTTCCAACAATGACTGTATGATTTTGAGATCCATCTTTTCACACTGAGGACAACTGAGAGACTCATATGCAACTATTACAGAAGGTTCAAACGCCCACTGATGCTCCAGAAGGAAAAACCACCTTGAACAGAATGGAGATGTTTTTTTCTTATTTTGCCTAAATACATATTTTTTTTATTTAGTACTGCACTTTATAGGCTACAGATGATAGTTACACGTTTCTCAGAAGACAAAATAAGTAAAATTTACCCTGATCTTCAAATTGGCTGTTAAGTGCAAAAGTCTTAGGCCACTAGTATTTTCACCAACAAAAAATGGTTTTAAGTCAGTTATTTCTATCTTTTGCTAGTGTGTCAATAGGAAATATCAGTTTACATTTACACACATTATTTTTGCTATTAATTGTAATAATCCAGTGAGATTTTTGTTTGCACAAGGAGTCTTGTGCTCCAGCCAGTGCTCCCCACATCATCATCATCCAGCAAAAGATAGATATTTCTATAAAATAATGTGTGTAAATGTAAACTGATATTTCCTATTGACACACTACAGCAAAAGATAGAAATAACTGACTTAAAACCATTTTTGTTGGTGAAAATACTAGTGGCCTAAGACTTGCACAGTACTGTATCAGGCACAGAGATCAGCTCTTTATGCAGGTACTTTAAAGGGACTCATTATGCAGTTTGTTTATCCTGTAGTTCATGTTCAGCAGCACTTAAGGAACATTACATGTGATATAACGTGTATTGCACGTTAAGCAGGAGCATTAAAAGCCTGGCTGCTGTGAGCAGGTCTATATCTACTGCTTCAGCTGACTCTGGACAGAATAAATGTCTCGAGTCTTCGCAGCAGCACGTTAATCGTAAAATGAAAATCAAAGTGAGGCTGCCTGTTCAGGGTCAGTGACAGGACACTCATTTCTTGTCTATTCAGGTGAGTCTTGATGTTTGGAGATGTTTGAAAGAAAAATGTCTAATTGAAAGTCTGAGCTTTTTTTTTTTTTTTTTCCTATTGACACACTACAGCAAAAGATAGAAATAACTGACTTAAAACCATTTTTGTTGGTGAAAATACTAGTGGCCTAAGACTAAGACCTAAGAAAATGATGTGTACACTTCTGTGTATTCACTAGAGAAAACATTTCATTACCTTTTACCATTACACCACTTAACATTTAAAGTTGTTACAGAAAGTAATGTATTGAACCAACATGAATACAAAGATGACATTTCTAAGAGCTTAATTAAACTAGATTTGAGCTCTGTAGAGCCATATCAGGTATTCTGAACATTTGAATACAGTCGTTTTAATATTTTAATAACGTGTACCTTGATCCTGCTCTAAGTCTGAATGAAATGTATGAAGTAGAGTCAATGAATTGTTTTAAGTACCAGTAGATGGCAGTGTTGTCTTTTGAATCAGAGATGCAAGTAATTTATATGGACATAGAAGGGAAAACCACTTCACTGTAGCTTTAACCCACCTTATATAATGAAAACGGTAAATAGAAAGTTCAAAAGAGTGCCATTTATTTAAAATGTTATTTCGTAACAATAGAGTCCTTGAGTCCTTTACTGTCACTTTAGATCAATTTAATGCATCCTTGCTAAATAAAAAAATCTTAAAATATAAAATCTTAAAATAAAATCTTACTGACCCCACACATATGAAAAATAGTATATATTTAATATTTACAATATTATATTTATTTTTGTCTTTACAATAGATTTTAATTTAAGCATATTTGCATGATAATGATTTTTTTCAAAGATAATTTTTTTATGCAAAATGTTGATAAATGAAACTGTTAGCTGAAAACATGATTTTTGTTTTTCCAATGGAAGCAAGATCACCTAACCAATGTAAATAGTGTAAATAGTTCATTCCGGTATCTGTTGTCTAAAATAACGGTTTGATTGATATTTACATTTTTACAAATCTGTTACACGCTGTAAAATTTTTATTTGAAGATTATTGAAGTAAGTTTCACAAGAAAATACTGTTTCAGTCTTTCTACTTCCAAATTTCATGCCTAATTCAATCTATTACTTGACATTTCTTTGTAATTATTAATAGCTATTTCTGAGTGAAAACTGTATGTTTTTCAGCATATTACCCTTTACCTTTTTGTGACGTCATATACTGTAAATCATTTTGTGCTTCATAATTGTTTTACTATAAACATTTTGCAAAAAAGTGTGACAACTAGCCCCTCCTACTATACCCTCCCACACTTTATTGTGAAAAGCTCTGCTCCTGGAAGAGGAGGAGATGTCTTGAGTAGCCTGATATTTCATGTCCCTTGACATTCACGCTTTTGCAGACTAACTGCTTTGAGAGAGTCAGAGGTGGAAATAACAACAACAGCAGGGAGGCAGTTCAGGTCACTTCACAACGGACGTGTCGTTTCGGTTAAAGAAAATGTCACATAAGCCCTTACACAAACACAGGGAAAATAAACCCCCTTCGGGATGGAATAATATTTAAACAAAACCACTGTCTTCTTAACCTTTACTAAACAAGAGCTGGATGGGTCACGAATGCTTCACATGAAGTTGTTAAAAGCTTATGAATATCTTTTCTTTGTCATCATACTGCATGTGCAGATAAATACAGCTTATTTAGTGCGTCAAACACATGGTTTGAAAGCAGGTGTAGATATTTTTTCAAACCGCAAGCTGTTCATGACTCATGAGGAGGCAGCATTTATCAGAATGATGCTTCTAAGAAAACATGCAGCCTGTACGGTTAAATGCATACAGAGCCAGAGATTGTAGTTAATGTCAATAAACGTGGATTTGTACAGTAGACCAAATGCAATCCTTGACATGATTACTGTAAACAATGATATAGAGCCTGCAAAATATGGGACATTGTGTCATGGCCTGCAATTAAATTACAATCTCTTACAATCTCTCATGGACATACAGCATCCAAACTGTTTTGCTCAAGGGGATTTTTCATGAGCCTTAATGATGAGAGAGAGAAAGTTAAGCAGGTTATTGATGCATAATGGTTTTAAGCTTTAGATGCATTTTTGAATTCACAAAGGATAACAATACATTCATGGTGTCTTTGTACTTCAGAAAAAGAAACATAATTATTTAAATCATTAAACCCCATTAATCATAATCTGAGGGTTCAATGTGAATAAAGTTAATGATGAACTTTTTTGTCCCCTATGAGAAACATTTAAAAAAGTTTTTAATGATAAATTATTATAGCCAAAATTATACATTATATATTGTGCCTTTTTAATTACCTTTTTTTTTTTTATAAAGGTGTAGAAATGTTAAATTAAATTGGTTAAATTACCACAAAAAAAAAATGGATGCAAATTGTAAAAAATAAATTAAATATAAATACATACATAAATTTTCCATAAGAACCTATTTTTACTTTATTTTATCATGCCAAACATTTTAGACAGCATCTTTTAAACTCCCCCATAATAAATAGATAAAATTTAAATAAATAAATAAATGTGAAAATTCTGATTTTGCATATTTTATTTTATGTTGTAGGGACTGTGTAAAGATCAGAATTGTTGATCATTAAAATATTTTTCTCTCATGATCTGAGGGTAGGTTTATCAGGCATCAAATAAAAAATTTTTTTTTTTGATAGCTGTGATAATAAAAACAACAACAACAACACTACACCCTAAATCAAAGGCAAAGCTACGATTAGATCTTTATTCTAAGATATGTGATAATTGAATTAAGACAGATAAAGTAGCCTAGTCAACAGTGCCACTAATTGAAGAATATGACATTTACACCTGTGATTCCTGGAAACGAAAAAGGGATCTTTTTCTTAACATTAATCATTACATTTCTCTTACTTTGCCTCGGCGTGGACATTAGCCTCAAGACATTAATATAATGTAAAGTAATATCAAGACATCTGTTTCCTGGCGCAAAGTTGTTTTTTTCCATTAGTGATCATCATCCAGCATATGTTCAGTAACGCAGTGCGACTGCTGAGGGAAAACGCGTTGCGCTCTTCTTCGGAGCCTCGCGGGCATTCGTAGCATCACTTCCGGAAAACGGCGGGAAAGATGGCGGCCGAGTCAGACGAGTGCGAAACGGCATTGAATATGAGTCCTACATCCAGAGATGAGGTAGGAACATCATCATTCTACCCGCGGTTAAACACGAATATGTATGTTTTCCACGGCGGGGCAGTTTAAAGCGGGTCGTGTTTGTGTTAGGTGGGGTTTTACGGGGGTGGGCCTGCACACATGGAGCTGATGGCGCTGCTTTAGTGTGTGTGTGTGTGAGATTAGTTGTGTGTAACACTGACAAAAACCAATAATAAACGCTCATTTTGTTTCATACAAGTGCACCAGTGTTTTATGGGTCCCTTGATTCTCTCTAAAGTGAAATTATGTTTCCTAGATAGGTTATCAAAGGAGCAATGTTTTAAACAACAACAGCAGCATGTCATCAAGTCACAAAAACAAATACATTTAAAAGGTTTCTGTCTTTTTAAGAAAATGTTAGGCATCATATAACCTGGTTATTTATTAAGTAGGTCTAATTGTTTCATATATAGTGGAAACCCCTTTGAAAACATTCAGATTACAAGCATAGACCATAATAGAAGGTTTTGTTGAAATTATTGGTCTCTTCTTTTGGCCAATTATTGTTTACATAATGCAAATTATATTGCACTTTTAGAATAACCATTTATACCATATCATACGTCTTTTTGTTTTCCTGGCAAATTCTCCATGCAGTGTTTCATTTACGTATTTAAGGGTTCATCATGTCACTTCAAAGCCTTTTGACTTGAAAGCTCACTCTTTGCCTGTGAATAATAACAGACAAACTGAATTGTCAGTGTGTGATTAACAAACTACCGAACGCCCTAACTTATTAGTTTGGCACAAACTATATTAAAGCATTTCATTGTTTTGATTTCGCTTGTTTGTATGTTATTCTTGCAAGGTCATTAAACACATCAAGCTAGGTGTGCAGAATGTGACCATCTATGTCACAGTTTGGAACACTAACTGTTACAGTTCAAAAGTTTGGTAGGAATTTTAAATGCTTTTGAAAAACTCTCTGATGCTCACCGAGGCTGAGTTTATTTGATCAACAATAATACAATAAAAGCTGTAATATTTGTGAAATATTTTTACAATTTAAAATAAAATGTTGCTTTTTGAATGTATTTTAAAATGCAATTTATCCTTATGATGGCAAAGCTGAATTTTCAGTTACACATGATCCTTCAGAAATCAATTAATGTTATAGCTGTGCTGCTTAATATGTTTGTGGAAAGCATGATACATATTTTTCAGGTTTTCTTGATAAAAAAGTTTGATAGAAAAATAAACATATATTTGAAATAAATCTTTCTTTTGTAAGGTTTTAAATGTTTTGCTGTCAGTTTTGATCAATTTAATGTGTCCTTGCTGAAAAGTACAAATTTCTTTCAACAAAAAAAAAAGGAACTAGATGTAAACCCAGACTGTAAACCATCGTTATATATAAATGGTGATAAAATGACTCGAAACAGTAAATTGAATATAATGTAACAAATTTGATAACTGAACTCACGTTACAACTAGGGCTGAACGATTAATTGCATTTGCGATAATATCGCGATATGAAAAAACGCGATTTTTCAATCGCAGAGGCTGCGATTACACTTGGCCACGTGACACGCGAGAGTAAAGAGGTGTGTTCGACTTGAAGATCGATCGGTGTATGACATCAAAGTACGGCGAGAGAAAGTATAAGGTGACGTCCGCGCTCTCTTATAGCTCTCGCAGTACTTTGATGACACACCCATCGGTCTAAGCAGCACTGCTTCAAGTCGAGTGCGGGCCATCAGCAGAAAAAGAAAAGAAATAAAACAGTAAACAGCCAAAGGACGTAACTTAGAATGGGAAATGGATCGTTTTGTGAAAGCGAAGAGAAAAGCCATAGATGAAGTAGGGGTGTGCGATATATATCGTCTGCGATAATATCGTAATTGTTGTTTTAACGATGTGCGATTTGACATTATCGAGTATTTTGCAAAACCCATTCAAAACATCCCTTCAGAGCGCACGCATACATTACGTGAAGTCTAGACTAGTGCGTGTGCGCATTTAGTGTGTTTTCTTTCACTGCATGATTCATACAACCCTTAAAGGGTTAGTTCACCCAAAAATAGGGATGTAACGATTCACTCAACTCACGATTCGATTCACGATTTAGATTTCACGATTCGATTTGATTCACAATTTTTTTTTACAAAATGAGATTTAAGACAAATTATAAATTAAATGTGTCTTTTTATTATTGCTTGGACAAAATACCGCACATTTCTTTGTGAAATTGAAATATAACACTATAATAATATACTAATATAGCACTTGTATATTATTGCTCTTTTGTTGGTTTTGATTGCTTTTATTGTCCTCATTTGTAAGTCGCTTTGGATAAAAGCGTCTGCTAAATAACAACATTTAAATATAGGCTAATGTAAATTAGGGGTCGACCGATTATTGATTATATAGCAGTCTCCGCCCACCACCCATCTGATTTGTTGGGAGTCACGAGTCCGACCAATCAATGCGGAATTCACTCTCACTCCGAAAGCGCTTGCTAACTGGAGCTGCTTCAGTGATCACGCATCAGTTGTCTCTCAAAGGTAAGGCAGCAGCAGACGTTGCTTAAGTTGCAATAAATCAGTGTGTGTGTGATTGTTATCTGCCTACAAGTAAAGATGTAAGTCACAAATATAATCATGACAAAATCTGCTTCTCCCCTATTTGTGTGTGTGTGTGTGTATGTATGTGTGTGTGCATGTGTGTGTGTGTGTGCGTGTGTGTGCGTGTGTGTGTGCGTTAGGGCTGTGCGATTAATCGAAATCGCGATTTGAGACGTTGCGATTTCCTAATCGCAAAGCCTGCGATATGGACGCGATATTACTCCGTTCCAGAGCATATGCATGACTGCCAGCCTTGAGTGCAAGAGTGCTTGAGGCAAGAGTGAGCGCACCTCCGTTCTCCCCAATCAGCACTGCTCTAGCCAACTGCGTAAACACTCACCATTAAAAAAAATAATAAAAAAATCCGGAACGCGGGACGGAAGAGAGACAGAGTGGTATTATGGCGTCTACTGGGTCAGATCGATAGTTAGGCAAATTAAAACTAAAGAAAACCGTATGCAACTTAAGCTTCGAAATGACATGACTCCCCCTTGTGTCATATAAAAAGCACAATAATCCTTTCAGACAACCGCGGTTAGATCAAATAATTGCAATTAAATGGTTATTTAATTATCGCGACAGGCCTACCGCTCGCATCATTCACAGTCGGGTTATTAGCAGAGAACACTGAGCAGAACTTGAATTTCGGCGCGGGTTTTGTGGCTATTAATAATAATTCTACTCATTCCCGCAGGTTCCGCGCTTATAACGCGATGGCGCCAACAGTTGTACACGGAAGCAGTTCCGGGCGGATGACATATGAGGTCAAGACACTTTAAAAAAAAAATTTTTTATTTTTATGGATGGGTGCTTTTTAATTTCTTTTGGACTGATGCATGCAACACCCGCTGAGTAAGCAGTGTTTAATAAACAGCTGTTTTTATAAATTCTTCTGAGGTGAAATTCAGTGCAGTCCCGTATCGTGATACGTATCGTATCGGGGCCTCTGTATCGTGATACGTATCGTATCGTGACTTTGCTGGTGATACACAGCCCTAATATACACCTAGGATGACTTGAGGGTGAGTAATTTATGGGCTAATTTTCATTTTTGGGTGAACTAACCCTTTAAGAACAAGTTTGTGCATTTCTTGACTTGTTTGGGACATGTTCATCTCTGTTTTCTCACATTATTTTATTTTTACATGTTACAGGTAATCCCAGCCAATATGGTATAAACCAAAGGTGTCCAGTCCCACTCCTGGAGTAGAACCCTATGAAATCTGTTTTATTTTTTCACAAATTTTGTCATTATTATTATTTATTTTTTTCCCCAGTTTAAATTTTTCTTGATTACATTTTAATGGTTTAATTAAATTTTTAATAGTAAAAAAACATGTCTATTCAACTGAATTCATAAAACCTCAACAGTTTAATAATTTATTGGCATTATTAATAGAGCCCTATGAAATGATTTATTTTTTCCAATAAATGGCCTCGTTCTCTCAGAGTTTAGCTCCAGCCCCAGTTAAACACACCTAAACCAGCTAATCAAGGTCTTCAGGGCCAATAAAAACTTTCATGCAGGTGTGCTGGACCTGAGCTCTGCAGGAAGGTGGCCCTCCAGGAGCAGGATTGGACACCCCTGGTATTACACATAATCCAGCTATTCGTTATTTGCTATAATTTTCTTTTTTAAATAAAGTGCTGCTCTAATGTCACTCTCTTTGCTGGCACTGAAAGAAACTCCATTCTAGGTCGAGGCTATGTAAAGTGCTGATATGGCTCTCGATTCCCTCTCTTACTTATCCTTTTTTGTCATTGACCAGGCACTGTGTTTCTGAATGATTTCTTCCTCCAGCGCTCAGCATTATCAGTGTGTGTGTAACTCTGAAATCCCAGCCTACCTGCTGAATGGCAGATCCACGTTTGAAAGACTAGTTTCCCATAAGCTTGCAGAAATCACTTGAGTCACCCACAGCATACATCACCTGGGATTAGGCTCAGTGGGGACAGATAGGATGTCGAGAGCGAGACTGTTTTTTATACAGAGGAAAAGCAAGCTCATGGCTATTCTTTGAGTGTCCCGCATCCGTCTGCGGCCAATGCATAAACAGCACGGAGAGTTTCGCATTACCGACACCCCAGAAAACACGCATCTGCTTCCTGCCCGTCCTGCTGAAACAGCAAATTGAATTTTGATTGAAACTGTGGCTGTGGCATATTCAGTGAAATCGAATTTAGAGAGTGATGCTTTACTGCTGCTGGGAGAGAATCAGGCTGTTACTGCAGCTCTAGATGTTAGTTCACTGATAACTCCTCTGCTGTCTGATCATTTCCAGTGCCGCTTGTAATTAGGGGCCAAGCACCGAAGGTGCGTAGGCACCTATTGTATCCGTCGGCGTTCTTCTTCTTCTTCCGTTTCTTCTGCTCTTGAGTTTATGGCAGCCCATAAAACCGCTTGCGGGAAAGTTGTGAAATTTGGCACTCTGATAGAGGACAGTCTCAACATTAACCATAGCAAATTTGGAGTCTCTATCTCAAACTCTCTAGCGCCACCACTTGTCCAAAGTTTCACTCATGTTTATGCTAATAACTTTTGAACCGTAAGGCACTGAAGGAAAATATTTTCCTCTGAATCCTTCGCTTATGCTGAGTTGAATGAACACCAAAAATCGCAAGGTTTTGTTTTTTCGCTATTTTTAATTCTTCGAAAAACCTACTTTTTCAAACTCGTCCCAGACGGTTTGTCTGATTCTCACCAAAATTGGCTCTGATCATCTTCAGACCATGCTGGCAAAAAGTTATGGAATTCAAGTTGATTCTTCAAACCGTTCTCGAATAACGCGCGAACGAATTTGACGAAAAGCATGCAAAAATGGATCTGAGGCTGTATCTCCGCAACGGTTTGGCATATTTAGACCAAACTTGGTGTGTGTTATAACAAGCATGGCCTGAGACTACCTGCTATTATAATGAAACTGGTCTCAAAATATTCCTTGGGTCATGCCGACAACATAGATACCAATTATGCCATTGTGGGCCGAACTTCCTGTCCGCCATTTTGATTTGTTGAAAACCTACTTTTTCGAACTCCTCCTCGACCGTTAGTGCGATTTTCACCAAAATCGAAGCAGATCATCATCAGACAGTGCTGACAAAAAGTTATGGATTTCGTGTTGATAGACAAAACCATTTTTGAATAGCGCCGCAACAAATTTGAGGCATAATGCCAGATTATGTCTGAGGCTGCATCTTTGCAAAGCTTTGACATTGACACCAAACTTTGTGTGTGCCATTGTCACCTCACACAAAACACACCACATCGATTTGATAACAGTGCCACCTATTGGTCACAAGTGATAAGCCATTAAATCATATTACGAGAAGTTGTGTTTATGATTTTTCAGCCATTTTGCTTCAAATCATCCTAAACTTGCTTTAATTACTCATTGTTGCAGTTGGTCTGATGCTCCATGCCATGCTTAGCTCTTCATTTTGCCTTTGGAGTGCTTGGCCCCTTAATTGCTGCTTGCAGCTATATTTGAAGTTTATTTCCCTACTGCAGAATACTGTATTACTGTCTGAAGTGTTTTGCGTCTTCAGCATCTCTGACCTCTGATAACAGCCCTTTTCAGGCTTAGTCATATTTCCACACAAATGTATTTTTTTTTTAAATGATTGCAATGCGGTCAACTTCCAAAAATGCAGTAAAAACTGCAGTGATAATTCAGCAAAAAATGAAAATTGTCATTTATTGTTCCAATTCTGAATGGCTTTCTTCTGTTGAACACAAAAAAAGATATTTTGAAGAATATGGGTAACCAAAACGGTTTCTGGTTCCCTTTGACATTCCATAGTATTTTTTTGTCCATAGCCATACTATGGAAATCAGTGGGGACCAGAAACTAATCTAATTTAATCTAATATTTAAAGTTTATTTTGTTTATTTTTTGGGGTAAACTGTCCCCTTTAAGTCATAAGGCCTCTCTCCCCATCTCCTCTGAATATTATGGTTAAAAAATGTACTTACAATTTTAGAACTTCAACTTTAAATTATTTTGAGTTAAGGCAGAATTTCTCATTTTTATTTGAGTTTAAGGTTTTCATCTACTATTTATTTTATTTTATTTCAGCTTTATCAATAGAATAATCTTTTGTGCAATAATTGTAAATTTTCTTCTTAAATAGAAGTGTAAATCCAGTCCAAAATGTTTTCCCAGCAGCTCAAACCTCATTCAGAGGTAGTCTTCAGAGTCCCTCGACTCAAAATCCTATCACAGGTGGTCACTGGAGACATATTTGACATGCATGTTAATAAAATGTAAATATCTTTTTCACTTGTCCGATCACCTGAGGCAGTTGTACAAGGTATAAACACCTTTTTTGGAACTTTATTTAAAAATCCATTCCTCTGCCTTTGGCCTTCTTTTTTAGCACACTGTTCTCATCTCACGGCACACACTTGTACTCTTAGACCCACTGTACTTGTGCTTTGTTACAGCACTAGTGTGTTCTTACTCTGTGTCCTCTCTCTGCCTTCCAGCCTCCCAGCCCAGGAGAAATGGAGCAGCGTGAGAGAAAGGCCAGCACAAGTTCATCTGAGGATGGAGACAGTGATGGGGATGACCGCAGGAGGGTTGTTGGTAAGTTTGTCCTTAGATTTTATTTTATTATAATTTTTTTTTATATTGCATTATAACAGTAGTCACATAAAATTGTGAATAATCTTAAATCACATTTTGCCATTGATTGTTACAGGGAAAGTTCACCCCAAAATGATAATTTACTCAATTTTATTATGTTGTGGAACACAAAAGATATTTTGAAGAATACAATTTTTAATGACAGTCATTGTGGTCCACTGACTTTCAGTGTATTGACTATTTTCTTTTTCTTTTTTTCTTTTTTTTTTGTAATATATATATATACAGGGCCTAAAACTAACTTTTTGCCACACCTGCCAAATTTACCGGCCAAATTTGTTTTTTACCGGCCATGAAACTCTTTTTGCAAAGTTATTACTACTACAATGACTAAACATATTTACAATGTTTTTAATTTGTCCTGCTGGTGCATTTTCCCTCAATTTTCCCTATTAATTATAGCCATTCAACATTACAATATAATTGAAAGCCATTATTTTTAACATTTAATAGGCTCTGCAATATATAACAACTTATAATTTAAGTGATTTTAAAACAATCTTCACATAAACTATATTATATATGTATAAACTATACATATTAATCTTTATTCAAGCTACAAAAGCTAATCAGCGACTAGAACAGACCAAGGATTTCTCTTTTTCTTTTGTTCTTTGATTTACATCAATGACAGACTTCAGCAGGTTTCACTTTAAAATCAGCGCTGTCTCTTTAAAACCTGATGCATATGACGCGGATCTGACACATATCCGATTTTCTCCCAGCTCTTTACGGTCATTTAAGGCGTAACCCCAGGTATGTGTCGCCGCATTCTCGTGTTATGAAGAATAAAGCTAATAACAGCTAATCACGATGATCTTGTCTTCGGAAAATATTATTTTATTCGCTTATGTCAGAAACAGCGAATCTCTTTAAAAACTGGCTGTTGTTTTCACTTCATTGCATTGTTATAATTCATAAAAGTTTGTACCCGCCAACTGGCAACTGACACCGTTACATGGACTCGCCAACGCTGATTTTTACTCGCATTTGGCGCTTGATGAGTGTTAATTAATATATATGTTGAATTTTTTTCATTTTAGTTTTAGTAATTTTAGTATTTAAACTTATTTTGTAATTTCATTTTTTTTAATCACATTTCTTTTTTATTGTATTGTATTCCAGATTCATTTTAATAAATTAAAACATTTAACAGCATTGAAAACAATTTTTAATGATTTTAGTTAATTACAACAATGCAAAAAACTTTTTTATTAAATAAAGACAAATATTTTATGGTTTTTAAAAATCGAAGTTTTATAACAATTTTCATTGTCCTTTTCCATTACTAATACAATTTCCACAATATTCCATTTAATAATTAATAGAATAATTGTTTGTTTCCACAAAATTTCTAAAAAAAAAAATGATATGAGTGAGTAAATAATGAAAATGTTTTCATGCTTTTTGGGTGAACTGTTCCTTTAAATCATAATGCCACTGACCCTATATCCTCTGAATATTATGGTTAAAAATATTTCAGCTCCGGTAGAACAAACCGTATATCCAATGGCCAGAAAACGGTTGCCTCAGCACTAAACTGGCACATAAGCCTGCATGTTTCCTCACAGCTGAGACCTACTTCCAACATTTCCTAAGTCAGCACAAGGACAAACGCAGTGACCGAGCAATGCTTCACTGTAGATGCACCTGTTGTGGGTGAACACAGTTTGTGTAGCTAGCATGTATCATTTGATGTTAAAAACTATGAGGAATAAAATATATTTTTTGGTCAGACTGTAAAATTAGGATTCATTGTGATTCTTTTTTTTTAGTTCCAGCCAGGCATTTTGAACAACTGCAGTTGAATCTGACTTGAAATACCTTTAATATTATAGGTTTTCAGTCAGTAGTTTTTCAGTTTAAGTCTCAAAGGAAATAGTTGTATTTTTCCATGTGTAGTGTGAATAAAACAGTGAATTGAAAGCAAATGTATGTATCATGACGGTCTTAGATGCAAGTCTTCCTTTAATATTACTTCTAGTATGTCCCTCAGGTGGCTCCTAAATCAACCTTGTATGGCAATGTCAAGTCAGTAATCAGTGTTTTCCCATAGAGGTCTGTATCTCAGGGCTCATCTGCATCCGGCCTCTGTGTAGCCCTGCGGACACGTATAACCTTGTTGCTCATGCCTGTTTATCTGATCTATTGCTCCCTGGTCTCTAGAGCTCATCACCAACAGTCTCACTTCAGTAGCTCTCATAGTCGGTGTTATCATCCATAAAATGCTTTCAATCATCCCTTCTGCTGAGCTGTTGCAAATCCGAAATCTGACCCAGTGAAAACGGCACAAGTCTCTTTCCGTCTCCTGACACCTGCACAAGGATACTTGACCACACATGGGTCTAATTTTTTTGATTTGCCCCACAAAACCCAGGGGCACATCTCACCCGTTGTTGAGTGTGCAATTAGAGTACGTATTTCAGTACAGCACATTTCACATTTGGCACAAAATTGAGGCACAGTTAGACCCTGGTGTGCTCTTTTATTCAACATTATATTGGAAAATAGAAGCATATTTGATATTGAAGGACTCTTTCATGGCCATTTCATGTCTCATTTAATGTTCATGTCTAGAGTGTGTGTAGTGGGACTAAGTGCTTTTCTGAGCAAGGATGTCATGTCTGATTTATCCTTTTAAAGTAGTTTTTTTTTTCAGTAGTTTTTCAGGAGACCACAGGGTCGCAGCCAATGTTCCCTCTAAACTGCGTGCATGCGGCCGCGTACTACTTCCACCGCGGCCGCACAGAAGAAATAATGTGCCGTGCACACTAGGGCTGGGCAAAAAAATCGATTTTCCGATTAATCGTTTTTTAAAATGACGTTGATTCGATATCTACGGCAACCCGTCAAAATAAAAGTTTAGTTTTACGTTCTACTGTCAGAATATATTACTATTTAGCAGTCTTAAGACTCAATGCTACTACTG